TTGTTTTCTTTACACCTCCTGTGGCTGGAGCGCCCTTTCGAGCAGCTTTAGCGACCAGTTGTTTTCTTTACACCTCCTGTGGCTGGAGCGCCCTTTCGAGCAGCTTTAGCAACCAGTTGGTTTCTTTACATCTACTGTGGCCGGAGCGCCCTTTCGAACAGCTTTAGCGACCAGTTGTTTTCTTTACACCTCCTGTGGCTGGAGCGCCCTTTCGAGTAGCTTTAGCGACCAGTTGTTTTCTTTACACCTACTGTAGCTGGAGCGCCCTTTCGAGTAGCTATAGCGACCATTGTTTTCTTTACACCTCCTGTGGCTGGAGCGCCCTTTCGAGCAGCTTTAATAACTAGTTGTTTTCTTGGTGCTTTTCTGCCCCTGGATTTTCTTGCAGCTTGCTTGGCGCGTGCCATAATTTAGCTTTTCAGTCTAATCTGTACCGTATTGTACGACTTCTGTGCTGAGAACGTTATATTATGACGACCACATAATGAGGTTTGAATTTCCCGCTGGAAATGCGAATCATAATGATGACATAAGCTTGTTGAAACGTTTTGTTTTTATTCACTACCCATTCAAGTCGTCTTCAAACTTTATTTTCTAAAAACAATGAGTTCTTCGTGACGTATATTGCTATTCAAAACGTCGGAAATATTTGCTATGTTGAAAAATATATAATTTTTCTGAAAAAGTGGACCCAAAAATGATATCAAATCGCTCCAGTGTTTCCACACTTTTGAAGAGACAGTTGAACTTGTGAAAACTAATGTTGATTCCGAATTATACGCCCGTGATATGACAGAAAAAAGTACGACTAAAGGATTAAATACAAATAAACAATCGAAAAAAAAATGATTTCCATAATTCATCATTGAATGAACACGAAGAAACCAAAATGTTGTTGTTTTTAAACGATACACCATTATTTACTGTTCGAAAATGTTTTTCGGAAGGATTTCGGTTTACTTGCGGAAAATTCGATCAATCTGGAGTACAGCACAATTTAATTATTAAAACGTCTCCTGATAGCTCAGCGGTAAGTATGACAGCTTATAAAGCTAAAAATCGGGTTTCGATGCCCGCGGCGACTTGCAGCAAAGATAGTGTATTGTGTAGCTTTGTACTGAACAACAAACAAACAAACGTTATCCCTAGAAGTTATCGAAAACAAACAACGAGTTGTAATATTTGTCTCCATCAGATGTAGCTAAACAAACTTTGTGTAATAATTTCATCAAGTTTTGGTTTGATCGCTTAGTGAACTAAAACAGCCTCAAGGTTAGTTAGGCAATAACAGTAAAATTAGCCTCACTGACAGTATTATCATTATTATTACTATGTTTGGAGTCCCTACCTCTGCAGTTAGGTTCACTGTATTTTCTTAAACCTGAAGTAGTGGCTGTTTTAATTGAGTCGTTTAACTGAAGCTCGTTTGTAATATTTTAATTAGGTTCTGTCAGACTGTGATGGTTTCGGTGTTACATTATCGCCATTTGGTAACAGTAATAACG